TCCGGCCAAAGACTCACCTCGGTCTCACAGACTGATCGACGCTGAAATCTGTTATACGTCCAAGTGCGGCGCATGCGTACGCAGTACTAACGCGGATAATAGGTTAAGAAGGTACCAGCGCTTGATTATCATAACCTATACGGTTTCGCAGAAACCATCAGTTTTATGCTTCGTCGGTCTGTAAGACCGCAAGGTGAGTCTCAGAAAGGTTAATATATTATAGTAGTATAAAAGGTATACCAAAAGTAGAACCACTGAAAAACTGAGAATCGTGGCAGGTAATCGCATTTTCCAATATGGCACCTTTGGCTCTTCGACATTTGTAATAACATTGATAGATTTCTTTTTTATATGCGCAAGCCGTGCTAAATATTGCGGTCTGGGATATTCTTCATGACTATCTAGACCAGTCAAATCCCATCTATGTGTTATTTCAGCAGAATATTTCTTCCATAATTCTAAAAACAATGCAGCTAGAAATAAGTAAATTTATTATTATGTGTATCAAATTGTTTTATTGTATGCAGAAATATATAATAAATATAATGATGTGTAATTCATACATCAACGAGTCAGAAATATATATCGAATTAATCGTAAAAACTCAGATTGATCTTTAATAATTCTTCAACAGTAAACCGGTTATCCAAGCAAAATATTAGCAGTATACCGGCAGATTTACAGTAGATTAGATGTAGAGAACGATTGAAAGGTGAAGAAAACTGGCGCCACCTCCGATGCGCTTGATCTTGATATATGTATAGAGGTCACCCTTCTGAGTGACTTTCTAAAGGTTTTAGTCGTCGCTCATTGTTTATTAAAAAGCTATTAACAAAAGAAGTTGCATAAAATGAGTGTAATATTTGCACACCCATGTCGGGCGGGCGAGCGCGCGGGCAAGCTGTGTGTATGTGTGTGTAGCAGACACCTTCCTAGCCTACAAATTCGATGTTTTTGTATATACGGTGTCCAGGAATTACACTCATTTTGCAACTTCTTTT